GTATTTTGACTCGGAGGCTTGATCTCATTCAAACATCCATGAACTGGTTCTATCCTTCAGAAATTATCTGGGATAAATGTGTCTGCATTTTAAAACATCGTGTGGCTAAGCGGTCCCTTTCCATCATTTTGTTCCTTTGTGAAGATTTAGAATTTTCTATCTTCTCTTCCGGCAAAGCACTTTAGTATCATATGCTTTTTCAAATGGTTTCACTGAGGTAAATAAAGATTGTTAAAAAAAAAAAATTACTGGCGAGAACGAAAACAAACGTGTTTTTTTAAAAAAACCCTAGAAAGAATTTAATAAATGCAAGAACTCCGGAGAGGAAGACAGTTACAGGCTGATATATCTGATTTTTTTTTTTCTAGTTCCCCAAAATGAAGAGAATGAGCTTTTAATACAGCGCCAGCTTTTTTATGTATCCGTGACCCCGAACCAATCATTTTAGCGGTCGATGTGGGACAGACACGTCGTTTGCTTTTCCAGCAGTTCAGATAGGCTTTTGTTTTTATTGTTGCTCATTGTAAGAATTCCGATGAATAGAAAGATTTCACGGACCAAACCAATTCGGCCTTTCCCCCTGTATGTTTGTTAGTTTATGGCTTCTCCCATTTTCCATTTTTGAAAGCAGAGATGCCTTTCATCCTGCTGGGGACGCTCCTCATTCGTGGAAGCCAGGCAAGGGCTTTCTTTTCCTTTCTCCCACAGGTCCGTAATTGGAAATTTGGTAACTGTACTAAATTTAAAGTTTTGGCATTTGCGTGGAGCAGCCATCCATCTGCTGGCGAGACACCCTGCCCAGGGCTTTTCAAGAAATCTTTTAATGGTCCTGAATACTACTAATATTTATATACATCGCCGTGAGACAAAATTTACTTCAGGCTTCTGGGGCTGGCTCCAGGACTCACTAATCCCGGACTTCCGTGTATTCTCCTGCCTTCCAGAATCCTCTCGAGATGATGCTCAGCCAGGGGCACACTGGCTTCCATCCGTGCAGCAGCTTCTGATTTACAGAGCTTGTCCTTTAGGAAACAAGTCACCTCTCCTTTTGAGCTTCTGTAAAGACCACGATTTTTCCTAATTTAAGCTTTACCGAAATCCCTTCCGAAGTAGCTTCCGTCACAGAAACAAAACCCTCGTTTCTCGGCTTATCGATAGCTCCGAAGATGTGTCAGTTGGGGATTAATCCTGTTGCGTAAAACAAATAGGCATTAAACAAGATAAAATTTCCTTTCTCCCTCACGTGAAGAAGTCTAGAGGTAAGCCGTGCGGGGTTAGCTTACTGTCACGGTCAACCGAGTTCCTTTGATCTCACTGTGCCATTCTTATGGGCCACCTCATGGTCCAAGACGGCTGCTCGAACTTCATGTATCACTCCGGCATTCCAGCCGACGAGGAGGAAGACGAGCCTATCTCCTCTGTTTTTAGGAGTCTTCTAGGAACTTTTGTACCCCCAAAGTGGGCTTATATTTCACTGGCTGGAACTTATGCCACTTCTGACTCCAAGAGAGGCTGGGAGATGTAGTGTTAGCTGGATGGCAAAGTGCATAACTAAAACGCTAGATAAGAAGAGTAAATAATGGAAGGCAACCTGTCGTCTCTGCCAAAAGATGATTTCAAAGGAGAAAGTTGCACAATTATTTTAAGCTTGTCGGTATCGTGAGAATTTGTCCCTTTTCTTCAGAGGTGACAGTATTCGTTTGAGTGTCCCAAGTTTTGATATGTTTTTATTTATTTTTATTTATTTTAATTTTTCGATTACAGTTGGCATATAATATTATATTAGTTTCAGGTATACAACATAGCGATTAGATATTTATATATCTTACAAAGTTTTCACCCCAATAAGTCTGGTACCTAGGTATACAACATAGTGATTAGATATTTATATACCTGACAAAAGTTTTCACCCCAATAAGTCTGGTACCCAACTGACGCCGTACATAGTTATGACAATATTATCGGCTATTTTCCCTGTGCTGTACTTTACATCCCCATGACTATTTTTATTTCTAGCAGTTTGTACTTCTGTTTTAAATTCACCTGTTTTGCCGTGAAACGGGAACTCTTGGACGCAGCTAGTGTGTGTGCAAATTAGTACCGACTTTCCAGAGGACAGTGTGACTCAGCAAAGTCAGTTCTGGAAATTAGTTCTTATGAAATAATTACGGATTCTCATGAAGATTGCAGGGCTCGCTGTATTAATAAAATGTTGGGAACAAATGCGACATCTAATAGGAGACCGATGATAACTTGTTACACACTATACTCTGGGATTCAACGTCGCTGTTAAATGATTGAGGAATTCACCATATACTATGCCAAAAAGGGCTTTTAAAATGGCATAATCCTTTTTAAATGGATATTTATATTTATACGTACATGCCCCCGTGTAAGAAAGGATCTGGGAGAATCCACATCGAAGTTATCGATAAGGGACACGTGGACTAGATGTTCTATATATATAGATATATATTTTCGTCTTATCTGTGATCTTTTATTTTTTTCGAGCATGTGTTTTTATCATAAGAAAAACAGGATCTTCACTAAATAACCCACTTCAGAGTCCATCATATACATGTTTAAATAATTTTGTTTTCCAACTCAAGGAAAAAGTAGGAAGTGTATCAAATACGAATCAGATTTCCTGTTTTGTCGATTTATATTTTATTTGCGAGCGAAGCTAACGGCTCCACAGAGTGTGATCATTACAGCACAGTTATGGAAATAAATACCAGCTCATCTCTTTGGGGTGTGAACTGTGGGTCTCTTGTTTTAGACACCTCTTTCACTCAACTTTACCACGGGGGGGCTCACAGGAGGTGGTCCGTGATATCCTGTGGTCCCCCGGGCTCAGGAACTCTACCCACCCACCTGCTTTCTTGTATTTGGAAATAACCATCGCACGTGAGGTCTTCTCAGTGATGGAAGTTGAGGATGCGTGAATAAGTTAGTATCGTCCATTAGGTAGGCCAAGAACTTTTCTAAAGCCATTTTATAAACCCGAATGTCATCATCTTTACTATATTCTAGTTTAGTCATTTTTCACATAATTAAGCAGTTGTGCACACTACGGCTTTTTAAGATATTCCGGAAGGAGCGCCTTCAAAATGCAGGGCGAGTGGAACATCAGGCCTTTAAAAGCACTAGCAAGCCGTCTTGCCGGCGTAGGGCTGCCTGCTGCATGCTGAGTGCGCCGGGCTGGCCTGCGTCGCCGTGTTAGAGGTGAGAAAAGAGAGGGTCAAGGTCATAGGAGCTAATGATTGACTCATCGGAGACCCAACAGCCAGTGACTAGGAAAGGCGGGACTTTTCACCCTGCGCTCCTGACTCGAAATGCAGAGTCCCCGCCCCCTGCGTCGATGAAGCCCAGTGCGGCCTGCGATGCCACCGGCCTGTGACGCGGCCACCGCACGCCTGACGCGGGCCGCAGAGCCCGGCGGTTTTCGGGTTGGGGATTCCACGTGCGGTCCATCGCTTTGGTCCATGGGGCGATCGGGCGCGGGCGGTCGGGAGGGACCGAGGCGGCCATCCAGCACCCCGCAGCCGGTCTCACCGCCCTGTCCCCTCTGCCCCACAGCGTGCCCGAGCGCGTGCGGGAAGCGGGCGTGCACGGAGGACCACGAGTGCTGCCACCCCGAGTGCCTGGGCGGCTGCAGCGCGCCCGACGACGACGCGGCCTGCGTGGCCTGTCGCCACTACTACTTCGCCGGCGTGTGCGTGCCCAGCTGCCCGCCCAGCACCTACCGCTTCGAGGGCTGGCGCTGCGTGGACCGCGACTTCTGCGCCAACATCCCCAACGCCGAGAGCAGCGACACCGAGGGCTTCGTCATCCACGACGGCGAGTGCATGCAGGAGTGCCCCTCGGGCTTCATCCGCAACGGCAGCCAGAGGTCAGTGGCCGGCCTGGGGGCGCGCGGCCCCTCGGGGGGCTCGGGGTGGGCTCTGCCACTCGTTCCATCAGAGTGGGACCGCGGGGAGGCCAAGGGAGGTGGCCTTACTTACGTTTTTTAAATCAGATTCTAGGAGCAATTGGCAAGTTTTGTCCAAACATCCCCCCCCCCCGCCCCACCCCCATTAATGTTTTGATTTGGAAGAAATTCAGTACCTGACTTGCTGGCTCAGGTACCCAAGGTCCCCGTGTCCCTGAGCACTGGCCAGGCTGCCATCCCAGCGGGGCAGACTCTAGATGTAGGTAGGTTTTCCCACGCCCCACAGCATGGGCGCACTGAGGGCTTTGGGAGGAAGGAGGAAGGTGGGTCAAGTCCGCCCGCATCCTCCAGGCGGCCAGGGCCTCTAAACGCCGCTTCAGCACAAGCCGGCGTCCTGTGCCCGCGCTGGCCACTCCTAAGAGTACTGCCTAGCGGAGAAGAACCTACGCGGCCCATCGGCAACTCTCCGTCACCCCCTCCACGTTCACCCTCCCTGCGTTTCCCTCCGCGACCCGCATTTTTCTTCCTAAATACCGAGACTTCACTTGGAAAGCAAAGAGGTCCCTATGCGACACGCATCCCTCCTTCTGGACTTCTGTACAATTGTCACTGGTTTGTCTTTTTTTTTTTTTTAAATGCAATGCTAGCATTGTTACAACATATAGGATTAGAACCCCAGAAGCCTAGAGGTTTGGGGGTTGCTACTCCCTGCTCTGGAGCACAACAGAGAACGTGTAGTTTGAAGGGTTAGTTCCATTGTGACAGGCCAACAGCCTTGGTCACATTCGACACTGGGGGAGCCTGACGTTGCTGGGTTCTCCAGAACTGTTCTACAAATATCAAATACCATCAGAAAAGTGAACGTTAATGTCGGATATGATGTGTGACTTGCCTACTTTTACTGCAGAGTGTGGAATGTTTGGAGGTGTTCCTCAGCCGGTACTTAACTTCAAATCAACGATAACACGTCAGTTCCTGATATTAGACATAGAACAACTTTCTGCGTGCTGTAATTTCTATACACATTATAACAGTAAAATTTATTCCAAATACTTTCAATGATTCCTGTGCCAAGACTCCCGTGACCTGTAAAGAATACATATTCCACCCCGAATAAGTCTACCAGATTTTATTGGCAGCCTTAGAACGTAAAAGAGCATTACCAATGCCCTGAGCAGTGTCTGGAGCCCAGATGAGGCCACAGTCCTGCCTGGTCATGGGGGCAGAGACGGGGCAGCCGGTCAGTGAGCTGGAGCTAACGCCATCTATGTCCCGTGGCTCCATTTTCCTATGATGTAGTGGGCAGAGGTGGGCAGTGCGCATTTCAACAATGCTGCTTCTCCCGCTGAAGGGCATTCCTCAAAGAACTGAGCCATGATTGCCCCTACTCTGTACCTTTTCCATTTTAAAATAAAATGCCATCAAGAAAGAATAACCCCCCTCTCAGCCTTTAAGACCTACTCAGCACTTAGTTTAACATATTTGTTTTTTAATACTGATTATACTTTCTCTGTACCAGAATGGATTCAAGGAAGCTTAATCTGTAAGCATATTGTCAGAATTCTTCCTTAGAAAAACATTTTTAAAGTCTTAGATGATTCCTCGACATTTTCTTCTTTCCAAAACATTTTTAAATTTATTTTTTATTGCTTATTATCTTTAAATGTTTTTTTTTTTCAATCACAATCGGCATGCAGTATCCTAGACTTTTTAGCAAAGGTACTTGATTCAGAAATTGCTATTCGAATAAAATATTGGGAGGAGAGGGGATTAAATATATAGTTACCATATGACCTAGAAGTTACAGCCCTGGATTTAAGGAAAACATACATCCACACAGAAACAAACACATACGTAGTTGTTCATAGCAGCTTTATTTATAACAGGCAAAAACTGGAAACCACTAGAGTTTTTGCCCCACGGTAGATAAACGGTTAAGCAAACTGTAGCACATCCACGCCAGGGAATATTACTCGACAATGAAAAATAACAGCCTTTTGAAATACACGACAAGTCGCATGCATCTCCAGAACGTAAAGCTAATCTAAAAAGGTCACATGCTAGATAATTCCACGTACATAACATTCTCCAAATGACAGAGGCGTAGGACAGTCATGGTGAGTTAGGGATAGAGACGATCTTCGTGGACTGGTTCAGTGTCTTGATTGTACCCGTGTTCATTTCCCGGTTTCAATATCATATCATCATTATGTGAGATGTAACCGTTGAGGGAAACTGGGTGATGCAGGAAGCTTCTGTACTCTTTGCCCCTTTATGTGAATCTATAATTATTTCAAAAGAACGTTTTCTAAATGGCGCAAGGGGGCAGTATTCGGTTTGTAAGTTAGAAGCCATCAAAGACTGACAAATAGTGCCAAAGGGAAGTTACTACCTGGGCCAGAAGTGAGGATCCTGAGTGTGACGTCGGCCCAGTTCGTGCCTCCCACTGTCACGATGTAAAATAGGAAAAATTTTTTTGACCCATTCGAAACACAATGCTGCATCTCTGCCTTAGATGTACAGTCAAGTTCCAGGGGTGGAAAAGGACTTTTAGTGGAAAGAGCTAAAACGTACAGGTTTTTTTTTTTGTTTTGTTTTTGTTTTTGTTTTTTACGTGTTTTTACATATCTTCATAAGATTTAAAAGATCATTCGAGAACAATAATATAAAGATAACGGCTCTCCAGCGCCCCATCCTGTTATTTACACACCCCCTCGTGTCGTGTCATTTATTTTGTTTGGAGATCAACCCAAATTTTGAGCCACGCTCTG